TAATTCCGTCGTACCGATTTTGACCCCAACAGTGAAGCTATATCGATCGATACTCTTATAGAGTAGTCGATCGATGGCAACCTATATTGTCCGATATCGCTGTCAAACATTGGTCGATATTGCCGGAAGTCAGATCAATGGACGAGTCTAGATAGCTATTGCTAATAGACTTATCTAAGAGTTGAAGTTCTTTAATATCTTATAAGCAACTCCTTAAGACATCTGTAGCATTATAATCCTGATTATCTGAATAGCAACCTTGAATCTAACTACTTTCTTTTATTGTTTAAATCCTAAACCAATTCTCTTGAGTAACTCACCATTGCTCACAACTGCAATTTACTTTTAAACTTTATCAACCTAGCATAATCACTAAGGATTACATCTTTTGTGTTCCTTAGTTTCTTGTGGATTCGATCCCTAAGTACTACAACTGAACCTCTTATTTGAGAGAGTAAACCTCTTATTTGAGAGAGTAATTCACTCCTTAGGGTAATTTGAATGATATCATCTCTCATACATGAAGCTTCCCAAAGTAAATCTTCCATCTCAGCATGCAAAGCTGAGAGGATCCTTCTACATGCCTGTAATCTGAAGAAATCAGAACCCATTTGATCCTTAAGACTATACCCTAAGCCACTAAGACTGGCATTATCGATCAATGATTACGGCGATTACTAAGTGTTGGTATAATTTTCTGTAAATATGGCGATACTGACATGCTTGGAATTTGAATGTGATTAATATAGAAGATTGTAAAAAAAAAAAAGATTGTCAAGAAGAAAAAAAAGATTGTCAAGAAGAAATTACTATAGATAATATATCATTTTTTTTCTTATAATATTTTATATTATAAAATGGAAAAATTACCAAAAATGAGATTTCAAATGTCAAATTAGACCACAACTACAAAAAAATGACAAATTAACCAAAAAACTAATAAAATTATAATAGGTACATTTATGACCAAACAAAAAATCAGTATTGTTTTGACCATTTAGGTTTCGAATGGTAACTGTGGATTGAGTGGTGCAGGACAAGCGTTTGAACTGTGGTGTGATTTTAACAGTTATAAAAACATATAGATATATGGTATATGTAGAGATTTTGTTACTGTTAACTGCGGGGAAATGTGGGGCGGTTCGTAACATTCAGAGCCTTAAGCTTTTGCACATGAGAAAACTTCTAGGAAAGTCTTTGTAAGTACATTTTATGGCTAGATCTATGTGTTAGAGTGGTTTTATTGTATGTATGAGCATAAAGTACAGAACAGATAGAGTTTTTTTATTGAGGATCGATGTTGGGGTAAAAATCCGTCATGGCAAAATCAATGGTTAAAATCCTCAGAGAAATTGTGCCTTATGCAAATATAAGCTGAAAAATGTCTTAGAAAATATATGGAATAAGCCAAACCTATTCGCATAAGGATACAAGAACAAAATTCGTATATTTAATCTCCAACAAGAAATAAAAGAATTTCTAACCAAAGATGAATTGATCGGATGCGGAAGGTTTTTGCGTGAAATGAAAATTTTAACAAAACAGTCTTCCGTTGTGGGGTGAAAGAGGTCATGGTGGAACATGTAGGAGTCAAAATCAGTTAGTACGAGACAATGTCGGAAAGTTCCCGAGAAACCCTTTGTAACATCCCGAGTTGTGTTATATGGAAAAGCTTAAGAGAATTTATTTGGCTATCTATGTCATAAAAGTGCGCTTACCTTTTCGGGAGCACATCCAGAGAGAACTCTAGAGTTAAGCGTGCTTGAGCTTGAGTAGTCAAAGGATGGGTGACCTATCGGGAAGTGATTTGTGATACCGTGTAAGTGAGGCCAAAGAACGGGGAAAGGTCATGTGGTATTTCAGGGTCAAGTAAACATGACTATAGAGCCTTGAAAAATAAAGGACCGACCATTGGAAAAGGATGAGGCCCACGGGCCGAGAGAGCAGGCGTGGGTGGCTAATTAGCCGTGGGTGGTCGGGGGGTTACACCTTTCTTCTCTAAAAAGGAAATGAAAATTGATCTCACTCAAATTACCCTAGGGTGTGAATTACCCTTTCAAATAAGAGGTTCACCTGTAGTACTCAAGGATCGAATCCACAAGGAGCGAGGGAACCAATTAAATCTAATCAAGTATAAAAATAGGTTGGTTTAATGATTTTAAAGTATATAGCAGTGTAGTAATCCTAATCGAGTAAGGCAGTTGCTCTACTAAATTGATTGAGGATTGAAACCTAATTGGAAAGGTATTAGACTTAAGGTTTTTATTCAGGTATTAAGGATTATAATCCTATATAGGCGCTAAACAGTTTTTTGCATGATATTAAAGAGCTCAACTACTTAACAACACATTCATCAGCTTTTAGCCTCTCTGTATGAGTATATTAATTAGATCTATTGACCCAAACAATTGATGTTTTGTTCGATCAATAGCATTGTCGATCGATTATTCCGAGGAATATTGTTCCATGCACCTTTCACTCCGTACAAGTTCGTGAAGAGGGCTGGACGAGGGGAATGAGGGAGAGCAGCTCGATCGAGAAAAAAAAAGAGTACCCCTCCCCCTAGAACCTGGCCGATCGATTAGACTTTAGTGATGTCGATCGACGCGCTTCTAGTTAAGCTTTATGTGCGGGTTGAAAAATGCTCACTAAGATCCTTAGACTATTGCTCTTTCTATAATCTAACAAACCTTAGCTTAATAGAATAGATTAAGGAAATTATTTCTAGAAAATCTTAAGATCAGGTTTCTAGTTATCAATTCTAGAACATAGGCATTAAGAAAATTCTATTAATGAATATTCTAACTAGCAATCCTATAGTTGGGGTTAATCCCCTTAACCTATTTAAACCCTAAACCTAACAAGTGAACTACTCAGACATGGCTAAGCAATTCATAACACAAACAAGGTAAATAAACTGCATAAATAGATAGGTAGATAGATAGATAGATAGATAGATAGATAGATAGATAGATAGATAGATAGATAGATAGATAGATAGATAGATAGATAGATAGATAGATAGATAGATAGATAGATAGATAGATAGATAGATAGATAGA